CCCCCAAAACCCCAAAACCCCAAAACCCCTATTTTAAATTAAAAATGGATAATCATTATAATTAAAATGATCAATCAATATCCACAGCCAGCTCAAAGCAAATTAGCAGTTCAACCTCAGATTATCAATCCAGAGGGACAACTGTATGCAAACAATAGCCAGCCTGGAGGAACTGAAGCTAAATATGGATTCAATACGGATAAGATGAGCGGTTATGAGAAAGACCCTGGTTATAACCCAAATCAAAACGTCTATTCACCAGCAGGCCCGGCTGCTGAAATGCAAGCCAATCCTGGGTATCCACAAGCCTATGGTAACAATCATCCAACTGTAATGAATGCTGCAGCTTATGGAGGAGGTATGCAGAATCCAGGAGGAAATCCGTACCCTGTTCATGCTCCAAGAGATGTTCAAAGAGCCGTCGACGGAGAGAAAAGATGGAAGGGGAAGAATTGACTTGACTGTATCACCAAACTCAAAGGAGATGAAGTAAGGCAAGGCTTTGTTCGTAAAGTCTTTGGAATTCTGACAGCTCAGACTGTGTTCACTGTCATTCTCTGTGCTATTGTCCTTTCAACAAAAAGTATAGAAGATTGGCTACAGGACAATATTTGGTTCTATTTTGTATCCCTTGGAGTAACGGTGACACTGATGATCGTCTTGGTCTGTTTTAGAAAACCTGCAAGAAAAGTACCCATAAACTATATTCTTTTGTTCACATTCACATTCTTTGAATCAATGATGGTAGCTACTATTAGCAGCTTCTATGATGCGAAATCTGTGATGATAATGGCTGGGATCGCTCTCGTTTTGTTTGCAACTATGGCTACAGTAGCCTGATTTACAAGCAGAAAGCCAGCAACATTAGCCATGATGATTTATTGCAGTTTCACCATTAGTTTAACTTGACTTTTCATAGTCATTTTCTTCTCCAACAGATGGGTGGTCACTGTTGTCAGTGGGATCATGCTTGTAATCGCTTGAATTGGAGTCATGATTGACATCGACCTTATCACCGAAAAGCATGGACTTGAAACAGATGAGTACATTATTGGTGCACTGTTCCTCTATATGGACCTCATCATGATATTCCTCTACTTGCTCTCCCTTTTTGGTGATCGAGGCTAAATTTCCTAATATTCTGATTTAAATGATCTAGAAATTTTGTTCATTCTGAATTACCTCAGAAGGGGTTTTGGGGTTTTGGGGTTTTGGGGTTTTGGGGTTTTGGGG